AGTTAATTGCGGGTACACTAATTTTAGCTGGAATCAGCAAAACCGCTAAATTATATGCCCGCTAATAATTGTGCCGCAATGAAAATTCGCTTAAATAGAACAAATATGTTAGACATCAAAATCTTCATCGGAAGAGCCTGAGTCATCTTCATTGCCCTCTTTCTACTGGCGCGTGGTTACCTCCAATCAGCGTCTAACTATTTTAGAGTGAGCGCTTCACATTGAGCGCTCTGGCTTTCCTGTTCGTTCGTATGGCGGAGCGCTTCTAACGATAACTCGATGGAGACAGGCTCAGAGCGGCAGAAAATGTAGTGCAAGAAGAGCGAAGCGGCAGAGACACGCTGTAGAGACACGCTGTAGAGACTCCGCCTTCTTTTTCTGGTTGTGCGCGTGACGGTGCGTGCAAGGGGGTCTGTGCGTGCGTGTGGACGAGGCGTCAATGTAGATTTAGTTGTTGATCTCTTGCCCCGGGGGTAGAGCCCTCACTGCGCTGGGGGCGCCACAATGCCGGGGCTCTCGGTTTTCTACTGCGCGTAGTTACCTGAATCAGCGCCTAACTATTATTCAGTAATCCACTTGTACTCTCATGGTGAGATGTGTATTGATTAGAGGAAGAGGGATATGTATTTAATGCCTGTATTAGGTAATTTGACATCTTCGATTTGTGCAACTTCAGACTAAAACACATAGGCATTTGGCTTGCTTGCTAGTCACTGGGTGATATCATTATCAATTGTCATCATCATACATTATTGTGCATATGCTTATTTTTATTACATTATGGAGACACAAATCGCTAAAATTAGTATACGCCAAAAACACACTGTGCAAAAACGCTAAAATTAGTACCCGCAATTAATAGTAACCTTAAGGTAACAGTTAAAACTAAACCCAGCTCATCAATTAGTTGTACGGTGCATGCGTTTACTTACGTGTGCGCGTCACAGTGCGCCGAGGGTTTGCACTTCAGTGCTTTTCATTTCAGAAGCATTTCCCCAAAGGGTACTCTCTTTGCTTGCTACTGAAATACTCAGTGGCTGTGATTGGGTGATACTTCACTTATATAAACATGAATTGGGATTGGTCATCCTAAAACTTTGTGCAGGCATAATAAGCTTGCTCATGCAATTATATACTAGTCCACAAGTGCCTGCAGTGTGAAGTGCGGTTGGCCTTTGTTACTAATAATTATGGTTCCATAATACATATTTACTAAAACCTAAGCTGTGCACTGCATGGGGTTGCTACTGCTTAATGTCTCAACCTCATACGTATTTCTGGACCAGATCAATAAAGTGCGGCCAGACATCTAGTGCCATCTTTTTATAATAACATATGGATGAAACATGTTGTCATTTTTGTAAAATATCATCTAACAGTGTCTTAATTAAATAAAAGTTCCGTTTCCAAGACATCATGGTGGGGTGATATGAAGTGGTAGCAAGGCTAATGCATGCTAATAAGAAGACTCTTAAATGCCTTACAGGGTTAGATGTGTGGTCAAGAGCTATGATCATTCTCCTAACTGCTAGCAGTATGTAGGATTTTCTCTGAAAACCAAGTTAACAAGCTAATATACAAATTATCACTGGCTTACCGCGACTACATAGATGTGCATGCTCTGCGTACCTTGGAGGCACCAGAGGTTGCAATGCGGGGCGTGTATCGACTCGCGCATAGTGTAGCTAGCCCGTTACCAACTCTCAGCGACCTGGTAGGAGACCACGAGTCAGCATAACGGTATGATGGCCCAGCCCATCAATTAGCAGTACATAAGACTTCTGCGTGCACGTTTTCACATAGGCCAAAATTCTGCGGAGAATGTTTTCCAAGCCTAAAAACATAGCAAATGCACAGCGAAATATGTGCTTTACTTAGTTTCATGCTTTCCTTGTCTGCAGCCTTTCACATAAGGCTGTGTAGGTCGCAGGTTTGCCTACATGGAACCCTTCTCTAGCGACCTAAAGTCGTTTTAGATCTGTTCTAATGCGTATAAGAGCTTCTACGGCGCCAAGAAACACTGCAGCGATCGTTTTGCAACCGCGGTTAACGTACTTATAGGTGGCTAAATATGACATTCGTACAAACGTACCGTGGGAATAATTGGGAAATAAACTGCCAATATTCAAAGATATCTGGTATCCCCAACTTTCTGGGGATGAGCGGTTACTGATTGTACCAGGCTCCCCTGCAAAAAACTGACTAGGAACAAGGCTAGCGTTTCTAGTGTGCCGAGGGTTTGCACCTTAGTGCTTTTCATGTACATTGGCTGGCATTACAACTAAAGTCTATTTGACTGACGAGCCTTTGAAAAATTGCGTTTACCAATTGACTAACACAATTAGCATACTTACAACTTTCCTGCTCTGATGATAATGCTTCAATAAACGTGAAACCTTATCAGTCAATAACTATCTGTATATCCCGTAAGAAAATTATGCAATAAGTAAAGTATTTTTGGCGAGGGAGGCGAGCAGTTCAATATTTCGCATGTGTATAAACAGTGCTTCCAAGGCTCAGGTGAACCCGAATAGACATTAGCTAGTGTCACCTAATGGTGATAGTTTCTCCAAAGTGATATTTTAAGGGCATATTTTGATATTCTAAACTAATTGCGTGCGCATTCCTAGTATTTTAAGGGTTGGATTGGTGGTGTTAGGTATGGCTGGTCTCGTCTCTCTCTCCTGCAGCAAAGTCTGATGTCTACCATCATCAACCTGGCCCAGAACTTCATCGGCAGCAACAACATCAACCTCCTCCAGCCCGGAGGACAGTTTGGGACTCGTCTTCACGGCGGCAAGGATGCTGCTAGCCCCAGGTAATTCAGTGGTGTATCTTACTTCTTATGCATACTGTTTGTACGTACATATATCCATATGCCTTTTGCAGTTTTATGGCATTGTGGTCTCTAGCTTCGTAGATGTATTTGGGAAGTGGTTAGCTATGCATGTACGTTAACATCCTCCTGCTGACTCTGCTTCAAGGGTACCTCACTTCAAAGGTACTTCAGGCTGTGTAAAATCGTTGCCTTTTAAAAGCGATTTTTCACAGCACTACATTTGCACAGCGTAATTCCTATGCTACTGTGCATGCACATGTGCGTACATATTTGGGCGTTAAATAGATAAAGCGTGCACAACTTTTGGATTACTGAAGCGTTCGGACTAGCGGGTTTCAAATGAGAGGTCCTACGGTTATTAACCCTCGCCTGCGTGCATGCGCAGCGAGGGTTATTGCAGTCGGTCTGTCCGTGTGTCCTCCGTTTTTCTCGGTAACCGCGGCAACTCTGAGCGTGAAACGTGGACATATTTTCAACTAGGAGGAATGCATGGTAAAATAAGATTCTGGAGCGGAGAAGCCCGGTGAAACGGACGGCTTCCGAGGTGGGTGTGCGTCAAATAGAGATCGCGAACCATCGTTGTATATGCTTAGATGCTAGATGCTTTGCGTGTGTGGAGAAGATTTGCTGGTCTGGCTGTATTGATGGTACAGTTGAGTAGGATCGAGATTGCCGGTGAAGTGAGAGCAGCACACGCCCCAGTGAATCCGCTCAGTGAAGGAGTCACGAGGTAGCGTAGCTATAGTATGGTGGTGAGGGTTGTCAAGACCAGTGCTTTTCACGTTGCTGTAGTAGTAACTAGTATTGAACTCGCATGTTGACGTAGTGTAGCTAGTAGCCATTGGCTGAATAAAGAATAAAGTGGCGAGGGTTATGCACTTTCAAGTGCTTTTCATTTGTATGAGAAGGATGGGGTGCAAAGCCCTGGGTCATTGTGCATTCAAAACCCCAAAGGGAGGTTAATGCCCTACCCCGCCTCCCCATAAATGGTCATCCTCCTCCTCTCCTCTGTCAGGTATATATTCACCATGTTGAGTCCCCTGGCTCGACTCCTGTTCCCAGTCACCGATGATCCACAACTCAACACCCTCAAAGAAGACAACCTCAAGTAGGCATACTGATAGATGATGTGTATCTGTACAGACAATCCACGCAGACCACATGAGTAACTGGCAGAATTATTAACTAACAGGTTGTGTGTTTGTTAAGCGTTCCTAGTTTAGAAAAAGAGCTCGTTTTATTGGTGTACACCTTGATTACTTAACCCTATAAGTCTCATAGTCCAGCGAGTTACTTTCACTCCCTCTCCAATATTTCACAGGATAGAGCCAGAGTGGTACTGCCCCATCATACCCATGGTCCTGTGCAATGGCTGCGATGGCATCGGTACCGGTTACTCCACCTTTGTACCCAACTACAACCCTCGGGAAATTGTAGATAACCTTCGCAGACTCATGAATGGACTGGAGCCAATGGAAATGGTGTGACTATTGACGAAATGATGAATTGATATAATCAGTATCCCTGTGTATTTTATGAGTTTCATCCCCAAAGTAGCCCTCAGTCAAATGCGATGTGTACAGTAAAAGTCTGCACTTGCAAGTACAATTGCATGTATGGCAAAGATATTTTGGGGTGTGTTCGCCCATGCAGCTTGATCATGCAGCCCAATTAAGGGAATTTTTCAACTTTTGGTAGCTGTTGATATACCTTTTCATTTTTTCCGTAAGCCACACCCTCCTCATGGCCTAAAATTGGTGTTTAAAGTGTTTGGTTTGTAAGAAATGGCTAACATTTGAATCGATCAATATCCCATAGCTGGTAGCTTTACATTGAATCACTAAGTGAGCTGTATACATGTATGTGCATGTTTTGTTGGTGTCATTTTGTTGGTGTGCCTTGATTGTACATAAGCCCCTAAGTCTCATAGTCCAGCGTGTCACTTTCATTTGCTTTGCCTTTGCCTTGATACCTCGTTGTTGTCACATGTATTCTCACGTGTGTGTGTACAGCAACCGTGGTACAAGAACTTCGCCGGGACCATTGCCCACGTTGAACCCCAGAGGTACGTAGCCTACGGCAGTGTTGGTCGCCTCAGCCCCACCTCTGTGGAGATCACGGAGCTGCCCATCCGAACGTGGATCCAGACCTACAAGGAGAATGTTCTAGAACCAATGCTCCACGGGACAGAGAAGACCCCGTCCTTCATCACGTGAGTCTCTTGAGGCCTGGAGGAAGATTAGTTTGAGTTTCAAAGACCGTGGGAGAGCTTGGTGCTCTAATAATTGTGGAAGATTTTAATCTCAATGCTCTCTGGTTAAGTTAGTGTATAATGTGCTTATAGAATGTGGAGAGTTGCGGAGAGCTCCAGTCAAATTTTTATGTCTTTTCAAATGCATTTGTCGTCTTATTGTGCAGCTAAACATGTTTGTATACAATTTGCTACCTACATACATATGTAGATGAATCTGAAATACACTGTGTACATACACCAGGGATCTATATAACTGTTTGCGTGCTTGAGTTTTACAGCTGCATGCAGGCGTTGATGGGGAGGGGTGCACGTGATCTAAAACCTGTGTTGTTATGTTAAGGTTTAACTCTTCCCGTTGTCTCCCTCCAGTGACTACAAGGAGTACCACACTGACACTACCGTCAGGTTTGTGGTCTACATGACGGCAGATAAGGTGGCCGAGTGCGAGCGCATCGGCTTCCACAAGAAGTTCAAGTTGGAGACCTACCTCAACACCTCCAACCTGGTATATACCTGCACAGAGCACTCACCCAAACTGCAGAGTGTCGTGGGTTCGAATCTCACCCAGGGCAACTCTTCTTTCCCCCTTATAACAAAGAGCTGTCCTGGGTGTAGTTGACTTGTTTGCTTTGCCTGGTTTGCTACTTCACCTTGTTGTTAGCACATTATTACACCACTTGTCAGGGGGTTTAGGATGCTCTACTATGTACATGAGTTCGGGTTTTGGCTCGGTGCTGGCCTTGACCAGCAGGAGTGGGGAGGGGCCTAGGCTCCAAACCACGAATGTCTGGGCATGGTCAGCAGCACATACCAGTGGCAAAGCCTTGTGGGGATGAATCTCATTAGTTCAGAACCACAAGTACTGTGCTCCTGGTAGCCATAAACTCTTGATGCCATAGAGAGAAGTTGCAGTATGCTCTGCTGATGAGGGCCAACAAGCCCAAAACAGCTATCGAGAGCTCCACATCTTTTTTCTCTTTGCACCACATGGTATTTTCTACATGCGTTCTTCACACTAGGCTGTTACTGTCAAAGCATTCGAAAAGATTAATTTTTTCCCTTGGAGTTAACTTATCAGCTAGTAGTAGGGTGTGGGTGGACTGTATTCTAGAAGTACATACCAATTGCAGAAACGGTGTGCTGTATGTTCTCACATGTGCGCAGGTACTGTTTGACCACAATGGCTGTCTCAAGAAGTACAACACAGTTATGGAAGTTCTCCACGAGTTCTATGAGGTTAGGTTTGCATTGATGGACAATTCTACCAACCAGCCATGTTTCTCATAATTATTGTACGTATGTGTGTTGTTGTATGTGTGCAGGTGAGGCTGACCATGTACCGCAAGAGGAAGGCCTACCTGGAGGGAATGATGGCTGCCGAGTCAGCAAAACTGGACAGCCAGGCTCGCTTCATCATGGAGATCATTGAAAAGAAACTTGTCATCAGTAAGCCTGTCTAAACAAATTGCTTCACTGAACTTGTGGTGTATATACAAGAATATTATTAGTTATATGTCACAAAGGTTTTGGTGTGCAACTTGTGCTAGTTTTTAATTGTATATGTGCTAGTAAAACGAGACAATTTAGAAAACCAATACCTTGTGTTGATGTATATACTCTTCTCTTGTTGGTGTATATTCCAGAGTGGGTAATTTTGACCATACACACAGGTAACAAGAAAAAGGCACTAGTTGTAAAGTTGCTCCAGTCTTCTGGGTACCCTAGTGATCCAGTCAAGAAGTGGAAGAACTCTGTGAGTGACGACGTGGAGGAAGAAGAGGGGGAGGAGGGAGAGGGGGAGAGGGAGGGGGGTGGGAGTATGGAGGACGGTGCTGACTACAACTACCTCCTGTCCATGTCGCTGTGGTCTCTGACTCTGGAGAAGAAGGAGGAGATTATGAAGAAGAGGGATGAAAAGGTTGGCCATGTCCTACACCCTTAAAACCTCTGCCTCCATCCTCATTTGCAGGCTTTATGTTGCTACCTTAGTCTCTATCCTCATTTGCTGGCTACCTTAGTCTTAATCCTTATTTGCTGGCTACCTTAGTCTCTATCTTCATTTGCTGGTTGCAGGCTCAGGAGCTGAAGGTGTTGCAGGGAAAGACTCCGAAAGACCTGTGGAGTGAAGATATTGACATGTTCATGCAGGAGTTGGACGTAAGATGATGTCTTCCTTCCTTAGTTTTTAGATGTGCGTGTGTATGTTCTGGTACATAGTTGGCGAGCACGACATAACTTTGTGGTCCGAACAGTGTCAGTATGTTGGCCAACTGTGCATGGATTTGAGCTACTGCATATATATAGCTTTCAAACTTTTCTCTTCCTCGAAAGTTTCCCGCGATATATATTTCTATTTTTCTACGGACTTATTATACAGAGTTTTTTTACTGCCTCTTTCTTTTTAGATCAGTTCTTTATATATATATATTTTTTATACACAGTTATATTTATATATATTTTTCCTACTGCCTATGTATAGGGGCTGTCATTGTGATTGTTTGTCATTCGGTTTGGACACTGGGTGTGCAGGGAGAGTTGGCATGCCATAAAAGGCTCTTTAACCCACCGCCCCAGTTCTCAAGGCTGGGCACCTGGTGTCCTGCCGGTTGTGTGCAACTGTGTGGTTTGTGTCTGTGTGTGGGTGGAGGATGGGGGTTGGAGGGTGACTTCTGGTTTTATTTTTTCTATTCTCTGTGGCTAGTATGCTATAAATATACTTTTCATGCTTCTTCTGTAACATAGTTTCCATGCACCCAAACTGTAGTCTCTCTCTCCCTCTCGTCTTCTCCTCTCACTGTTTCTCTTCCCTCCCCCTCCACCCTCCCTCCTCCCACTGTGTGTATGTATTGTTAGAGGGTGGAGGAAGAGGAGAGAGCGGACGAGGCTGCAGGTGCCAGAATCACCAAGAAGAAGAAGACCAAGGGCAAGCAGGGTGGTCGGCAGGCTAAGCTCGCTACCGACTCCGGAAACTCATTCAAGGAAACCCGCCCTAGTCCATTTGCAGAGCTCGTTGCGCCCGTCATCCCCGAGTTTTCTACCGAGAGGAAAACGGCGGGGAAGGGTAGGGGCAGGGTCAAGTCTGAGCCCAAGACATCGACTGGTGAAGTGTCTGGTGGTAACGAAAAAGAGGATCCGAAGCAAAAGAAGTTGAAGTTTGAGAGTTCCGATAAGACCAAGGAAGAGGGCGAGGGAGGTGGGAAAGCCAAGAAGGCACCGACCGAGAAACCCTCTCAGGCAAAGAAGAGAAAGGTGAAGGAAATGGTGGACAGTTTCGTCATTAGCTCCGATTCGGAGGAGGAAGTGGAAGAGAGAGAGATGGAGAAGAAGAGTTTGCATGAGAGGATTGAACTGAGGAAGACCAAGGTAGCAGAGTACAAGGATATTCTGTCGGGAGAGGAGAGTGTGGAGAGCGAGGCGAGTTGGAAGAGTGAGAGTGACGATGGGGGCGCCCCTCCAATAAAGAAAGCCAAGTTGGCTGCTGGTGGATCAAAGACGGCAGTCCCGACTGGTGAAAGTGTGGAGATTGACGAGGTCAGCAGTGAAACAACCGAGGCAGCAGAAGGGGCAAAGAGCAAGAAAACAGCCCCAAAACCGGACAGAGGGGCAGGTGTGAAAGGGAAAGGCAAAAAGGAGTCAGCAGCTTCAAAGTCCACGGCAGCCAAGCTCACTGCCAAACCAGCAGCAAAGCCGAGTAAGGCTGGAGCTCGTAAAGCGACCAGCAGCAGTTCTGGGAGCGGTAGTGGGGAGAAGAAGAAGCAAGGGAAAGTGACACTCGCGAAGAAACGTGTGGTGTCGCATGACTTTGTGAGCGACGAAGAGTCTGACTACAGCATCGAGTCTGGGTCAGGGAGCGACTCGCTGGCTCTTCCGTCCAAGAAGGCGGCAACTGAGGTGAGTGATGTGAACTTCCAATAAGGGACCCTAATAGATAAAGACAGTCTCTCTACAAAGGACACTTGTTTCAACCCCATGCTAATACTATTTTTACCTCTGAGATAATACGGACGACCTATCTACAAGGGTCAAAATCGTTGCCTGCGTAGTGTCCCTTGTTCGGAGGTTCCACTGTAAATGTGTACACTAGTGAAAGTGCACAGTTGTAGAACACAATTTTGCATGAAAAAATAAAACGTGTCTCTGTGTGTCTCTGCAGGCTGCAAAGTGTCGGCCACGGAGAGGACAGAGGGTCAAGTATAACGTCATTTCTGACTCTGATGACAGTGACTTTATGGCCTGAAACTCCACTCGCTGGCTTACATTGCTTTTCCATTATGTATCATAATCACACGCACCTTGTGTTTCACTGCTATACTATCATCATCATCATCACAATAATATATACCTGCCATTATAGCATGTATTGTATAATATTGGTGGTGAGCAAAGTGAGCCTACTATGCGTACAGCAGTTCATCACTCCAATTGTCATGTGAGCAGAGCAAGGTCCAACTTGAGGTAGCATACACCTATACGTACATGGTGTGTTTCCTGACAGACAAATCTTCATTCAACTTCAATATATGGGAGAAGATGGATCCATGCAACATGATGCATGAAACTAGTATAAAATACAGTGATGATCCCATAATACACATGATTAAAAGTTACATAAGACGACCCAACAAATTTGTATCGTGTATATTTTATGTGGCCTTTACTGGAGTTCCTGCTACACTCAAGCGAGTAGTAATGTCGATGAATCATTGGGGTTTGAGTGGGCAGTTTCCTCATACATAGTAGTAACCTGTGTGTATACTGGTGTCTGTAAAATGCCAGCGTAGGTTTTTGTCATGTTTTAACACTGCAATGTGTGTGTGTGTGTGAAAACAGTAAGTGTATTAGGATGGGGATAAAACATGTCCCCTTTGTAGAGATGTCGTCCCTATCTCAGAGGGTCCCTTATCGGAGGTTCCACTGTACATAAAATGCATTCAAAATAATCACTATAAACTGTCCCACACCACAAGTGTCAAAGGGTTCGAGGGCGATTTGGTTTTTCTCGCTGCCCGAGTTTGAGCAGTGGAAGTGCTCGACCAAAGGTGCCCACACCTGGAAGGTCAAGTACTACAAGGGTCTGGGGACCAGCACGGGCAAGGAGGCAAAGGAGTACTTCTCTGACATGGAGCGCCACAGAATCCCCTTCAAGTACAGCGGAGCCAACGACGACGATGCCATTCTTCTTGTGAGTGTCTATCATTGTTGCATACAGAGAGGGGGTGGGGACACACTGGGATTTCCTCCCTCCACATTGAGACCACCGGAATTTAAGTCAGGCTAATGATAACAGCATCAAGTTTGTAACGAGTATCTATGTACATAACCAGATTTAGCGGGTATTAATATCCTCCCACCCTATATAGAACTGTTTGCAATCCTATATAGAGGCTTAGGGGATTACGCGATACGATGTAGTACAGCTGAGTTGCCCTGGTATGTAGCTCAGTTGGTAGAGCACTCGCCTAGAGAGCAGAGTGTTGTGGGTTCAAATCACCTAGGGCAGCTCTTCTTTTTGAGTTGTCCTTGACTTGTTTGCTTTGCCTTAGCCTTTGTCTCTCTATTTCGACCTGTTGTTGTCATATGTATAGGCAAGCTAGGCTCTAGTCTCAGTCCCCTACAGTGATTCAATGGAAGTCTGTATGTAATATTTTGGCCGTGTGCGAGGGTCAGGACAATAGTCTATTTCTTGTAATAAACTCTCATTCATTAACTATGTAATTGCCCTCTTTGTCTGTTTGTTTACAAGGCGTTCAGCAAGAAGTGTGTGGAGCGTCGTAAGGAGTGGCTGACGCAGTGGCTGGAGCACCGCCGGGAGCAGAGGGACCAGGGTCTGGACGAATCTCTCCTTTACGCCGAGCAGATGGACCACATCTCCTACTCCGACTTTGTCAACAAGGAGCTCATTCTCTTCTCCAACATGGACAACGAACGCTCCATTCCCAGCTCTGTGGATGGTGAGTTTGGACCGTTGGGTTACGGAACCCCAACTAGGCTCACAAGTTGTGTATCAAATATGTGGTGGATAATTTCTGACATGTTGGGTAAATGAAATGCGCCGATGAACTCAAAAAACCTCAACCACACCAACCAAACACAACACACACACATAATGCGAGTGTTGTGAAGTATTCTCTAAGAGGTGGAAATCGGGTGTGAATGTTGACATCTGTATGGGTTGCATAGGCAAGTAAAGTCGTATCTGATTGTAGTTATCAATTACTAAGGTGCTCGCTAATGCCATGCCACGTTTTGTTGGTGCCGAGGCTTGCGTTGTATCATGTTGCATTAATTTAGTGCTGTCATTTCTGGAGCCTATCGCTGCTGTGCGATGGCGACTAGGGATTAACGATAGCTATGCTGTAGCGAGTCCATGCAAATCTACTGTTATAACCTAGAGGACCCGTGCAATCTGTGGCAGTACTAACGCAGCGAGGACGCTACGGAAAAAGGGCCGATTTAAAGTATTATTGAGTACACAGTCCCAATTGACGTGGCACTTTTTCCGCATATGCGGTTGTGTGGGGAAACAGCGCTGTGCGGGCATTTAGTAGGGCATTAGGAAAGTTGTTGCGAGTGGTACATCCCGTGTAAAACAAAGCGGCACACAAACTCAGGTATAGGGCATTATTTCACGGTGGTTTACTACGCGTTGTTACAACGCTATTACGCACGCCGTGGCGTGTCATTACCCGGTAGCGTAAACAAGCGTGGTCGCACCCCCAAGTATTTACACTCTAGAGCGCTGTCGCACAAACGTGGTGTGTCAGTACGCGTTATGCGCGAAGGAGCGTTGCGAAATACCGCGAGCGTAGAGTGTACGCTGGCGATTGCAGGTGGATGCTGTCGCGCGAACGCTAAGTCTGCGTAAATGGTGTGACTTAAAATATTTCGCAACCGTTGCTGTCTGTGTGTGCTTTTACACACATTATTTTACACGGGATATACTACGAGATTTAGTAACGCGTTTTCACATGTGAGTGCATACTAAGGTAAGGTGTATTTGTGTGTGTAGGAACTGAAGCCCTGGTCAGAGGAAGGTGTTGTTCACTTGTTTCAGAGGAATGACAAGAGAGAGAATAAAGGTGGCCCAGCTGCTGGCTCCGTGCAGAACATTCTGCCTACCATCACGGAGAGGTATGTAGGGTGGATTTTATGTACCTGTACCATGTGGACCACAATATATCACTATTGGTGAGTCAAAATGAAGTGACCCCATTTTTAATTGGTGAGCAGGAGCGAGCTAACCTAGTGGTCCAAACCGCGCGATTTTTCTATATATCAGAGCGTCGGTAGACGCTCTATATAGGGATGACACGAGTGAAATCTCACGTGATCCGCGTACAAAACGCCTCAAAACTCAGCGAGAATGACTCACCATGGCTTCAAAATCACTAGCAATAGTCTAGAGGCCAATACCTAGCTATACATATGCCCCAAGACTTCTTACGTGCCCTCAGTTCCCCACCAGAGAATTCGCTCTTACGCGATTTCGCGATTTTCGTGTCATCATCATCATATTCTTCATCTTCTTCTTCTTCTTCTTCTTCTTCAGACCCGCTAGCTCCTTACCGGAAGCAGTTGAAGCGTTGATTTTTTCACAGAACGTCTCCAAATTTTCCGGAGGTGTGCACGCATATCAAGCGATCGCTTGTTTCTTGCCGCAAGTCACTACGGTAGATCATTGAGCTCTTCCACAATAGTCACTGAACAACGCCATTTGCTGCTAACTCAGCATCAGTGAGCCGCATGCGCCGCGCCGAGGAGGGCGTTTCCCCAAAATGCGCGGTGCGCGCGCATTACTATAGCGTGCGTGAACCAGACTAAGCCAGGAAGCCTGCAGAGGAATTCTTATCCTCCAGTGCCTTCTGTAAGTCAGTATACACATTTTTAACTGGCTATCTTGCGTTTTGCTGTTGATTTGCACGAGGAGCAACTTCGCAGTGTGCGCCGTGTTAGCTATACGCGGTCCTTGCACAGCGCCTTCATTCTTTGTCCCCCCAGGTTATAGCTATCATTGTAGTCTGATTACTGAAGCCTGCCTATGAAAGCACCCCACCATATATGTGCCACAACCTAATTGCATCCTTGTTGGAGACACTACGCATACACCCTGCTTCAGGTAGGAGCAGCCCATTAGCTTCTGCTTTCAACAGTTATCTCTACAACACCCATGAACATAAGAGTGACTGAAAATGCAGTGTTGTCATAAGGCGTGAAAAATAGTGGAAACAAGTGGAAAAATCATTTCTTCAAAATGAAAGGGGGATATAGGGATGGCTTGAAGCACCAAAAAGGAAGAAACAAGGGGTCATTACACAGCAAAGATGCACAAAGCTACATGACACCATCCCTATATCTTTGTATTATTGTTCACAACCAATCTCGCCATGCTGACATTTTTCTCCCTAATTGGGAAAGAGGTCGTCCAGCCGCGCTTGACGTCTCCGTCATTTCCACTCTGCAACAGCTTACCTTCAAGTAAAGTTTAATATGAGACAAAGATATAGGGATGGTGTCATGTAGCTTTGTGCATCTTTGCTGTGTAATGACCCCTTGTTTCTTCCTTTTTGGTGCTTCAAGCCATCCCTATATCCCCCTTTCATTTTGAAGAAATGATTTTTCCACTTGTATATATACGACCGCGTACGTCGTGTAAGTGCGCATGCGCGGCTTCGTGACGCACTTCTTTTTATCCGAAATCATTTCCAATTTATTTTCACGTGCTACCTGCGCATGCGTCAGGATAACGAGCTTCTACACGCTGCTATATAATATGATTGTTCGTGCAGATACAAATCATTGTGTGCTCGCTCCCGCTCGCCAAAAATGCCATGCATTCGCCTACTAGTATATACATATCTGGTGACGATCATGTCACGTATGTAGGATGTGTTGTACTTGTCAACTAGTTCGGGTTGGTTCGACTGCACCTTGCACCTTCTCGAACCACTTCGAGAGCATGTTAACAGTTACCCCACTTTCTATGGACTTGGTTGCCAAAAGGTACTGCTTGAATCTCTACTGAACTGAGAAACAGTAAAGTTCAGGATGTAGATGTACGTACTAGTACCAGCACTACATGTACATGTCACAGAGCTAAGCAACAATTTTCAACTCTACGACTAACTAAATTGTAGTCATTGATTGGCTACAAAAGTCTGGATTACGGTGAGCTATTCAGTCACTGGACATAAATCTCCAGAGTCTCAAAGTTAATGTCTTCATTGGTTCTGGCCTCATCAACACACAGCCTCACCTCAATGTCATTACTGGTTTGAGGAGAGATCTCTTTCCTGAACCATGGTGGAGAGTTCCAGTCACAGCAGGTGCTGTTCGGACCACATCCAGCACCATCCCAGAGAGGATCGTCTCCATAGAAGATGTACTTGTAGAAATTCTCGCTGCCAGTATCACAGAAGTAGTCATTTCCCACAAAGCTAGGAACATCAGGAGGTGGGGGGGTGTTTCGTGTGTTGGTGCAGGGACACACGCTATTGGGGATAGTGTCATCCTCATGAAGCGCGGCAACAAATGTCCAAATGTGTTTGCGAGGATTGTCTCCGTGTGTTATGCTAATCCCATCAACATAGTATGATTCAATGGTGTTATGGCCAATAATACGTTGGTGAAAACCATCTGGAGTTTTGTCCTGGTATCCAATGATCTTGCCACACACTTGAGAGTACTCTACTCCCTGTACTGGCAGCACAACCGAAGAGCATCCACGAACTTCAATGTTCCTAGCACACAGTCTGCGAGGACTGGTGAGGGTCCTCAGACCAGATGGACAGGTACTGCTAGTGTCAGTCATGTCGATAGAGGCCACCCTCATCCAGCCCTCAGCTACACCTTTGCAGCTCCTCTCCATGTCACAGTTCATTTGTCTGGGTCTGTTGTTGGTTCCACTGAGCCAGTAGAGACCCGAGGGAGACTGTGGGGCCAGCTGGAGGATCTCCTTGCAGGAGGCAGCAGGGAAATTTGAATTGCTGCCAGGAGTGAACAATTGGGAGATCTTTGTCAGCAGAAAGTTTCCAGCTTGGTTCAGCTCACTCCTGATCTCCTCCCTGAGCCGACTAGCAGTAGTTAGTACTACTACATCATTCTCCTCACAGGCACAGACTGCTGTACTGTAGACCAGCAGCACTAGAGACGCCAAGGCAAGGAAGGTCATGGCTGTGAAGTCACCAGAAACTGAGTCAAATTGTCTGCAGTTTGAATTTATGGGACGTGGATATGCTTTATAGCATTGGCTGTTGGTTTGGCTCTGGTCTGGTTACTTGGTAATAGCATTCCTGGGGGCCTGTTGTAATTTGTGTGGTGGTTCAGTCTTACCCTTGTGGTCAATGGGGGTCATGGAATTGAATACACTGAAATACTGGAATGATCCGTCATCGTTAACCTGCTCGTGCGACAGCATGTCTGTGTGGAAAGAGCAAAGTAACGACCAATGGCAAGGATCCCAGTCTCTCAGAGTGCAACATCAGATGTCTGTCCCTTTCACACTAGACCGGTCTCCAAGACAGTCATACTTACATTTGGCCCTGAAAGTATATTCCCACTACCAATTTAGTTTCTAATTGGTACATGGCCTTATAATTATTTAGTGGTGTGCCTGAAATGGACGACAAATTTTTGGTCAATCTCTCTATTAAGTTGGTTCACCACAACTGTGGTTAATTTTATGATTGAGGTTGTAGTCTGCAGATGTTCTTGTGCTGGCAAATACAAATTTTATTAACCCTCGCCGTGCATGTGTAGCGAGGATTACAGTAGTTGCCGTGTGTGTGTGTCAGTCTGTCAGTCTGTCAGTCACCCGACATCTCACTTCTCGAGCCATGAAATGCTCCACAAACAATGCCACGTATTTAGCGTCAGGTATGTACTGTTGTATGTACTGTAGGTCGAGTCGAATAATACAGTATGTAGAATTTTCTCTGAAAACCAAGTTAACAAGCTAATTGCTAAAGAGCACTGTCTTACCTCGACCAGATGTGCATGCTCTGCGTATCTTGGAGGCACCAGTCCATTCTAGTCCGGCATTTAGGGATTTCCAGGTCCCCTAACCACTATGGCTTACCATGGTGAGAGGTGTGTCAGTAACATGGGTCTATATATACCTTTCACAATAGAGACCAAGACAGTGGTATATATGGAAACATCAGGTGAAGTGTCATAACAAAGAAAAGACTTGTAAGAATCTGAAAGACAGTCATACTTACATTTGGCCCTGAAAGTATATTCCCACTACGAATTAAGTCTCTAAGTGGTATATGGCCTTATGGTGTGCCTCAAATTGACGAAAAGTTTTTGGTCAATCTCTCTATTAAGTTGGTTCACCACAACTGTGGTCAATTTTATGATTGAGGTTGTAGTCTGCAGATGTTCTTGTGCTGGCAAATACAAATTAACCCTCGCCGCGCATGTGTAGCGAGGGTTACAGTAGTTGCCGTGTGTGTGTGTCAGTCTGTCAGTCAGTCCGTTACCCGACATCTCACTCCTCGAGCCATGAAATGCTCCACAAACAATGCCACGTATTTAGTGTCAGGTATGTACTGTTGTATGTACTGTAGGTCGAGTCAGTATGTAGGATTTTCTCTGAAAACCAAAGTTAACAAGCTAATTGCTAATGAGCGCTGTCTTACCTCGACCAGATGTGCATACTCTGCGTATCTTGGAGGCACCAGTCCATTCTAGTCCGGCATTTAGGGATTTCCAGGTCCCCTAACCACTATGGCTTACCATGGTGGGAGGTGTGTTAGTAACATGGGTCTATATATACCTTTGTTAGGCATACAGAGGCAGATCCAGTCTATAGGTGCGGCGTAATATGAACACACAAACTTCTGGTTATTGCACATTTTATCCTCACGAGAGGGAACTCCGTCTCATTCAGCTTACTCCATATCTCCCTGAGCTGACTTACCACAGGTACAAATACTGCTGTGCTGTATACCAGCAGCACAATAGAGACCAAGACAGTGGTATATATGGAAACATCAGGTGAAGTGTCATAACAAAGAAAAGACTTGTAGAGTGCCATTGTCAGTACATTTGGCCCTGAAAGTATATTCCCACTACCAATTTAGTCTCTAAGTGGTACATGGCCTTATAATTATTAGTGGTGTGCCTCAAATGGACGACAAATTTTGGTCAATCTCTCTATTAAGACTAGCGGGTTTCAAATGAGTGAGGTCCTACGGTTATTTGTATCAGAAGGAGGGGGTGCAAAGCCCTGGATCCTTGTGCATTAAAACCCCAAAGGGAGATTAATGCCCTACCCCGCCTCCCCATAAATGGTCATCCTCCTCCTCTCCTCTGTCAGGTATATATTCACCATGTTGAGTCCCCCTGGCTCGACTCCTGTTCCCAGTCACCGATGATCCACAACTCAAACACCTCAAAGAGACAACCTCAAGTGGGCCATACTGATAG